AAAAAAAAAAAAAAAAAAAAAAAAAAAAAAAAAAAAACACATCTTAGTAAAACCAATACCTTCTCAGCTTCGCATCGAAGCTAAAATAACTCATCATAAATTATTCATTCTTTTGTTTTAATATATTTTAGAATGAGAACAACCTGAGTGTAATATAGGTCATTATTTTATAAAACTGAAAACAAAGCATTTTTGTAATGTTTGGTTTAACTATGAATTTCTTAATCTATTATTACAAAAATATAATATAGTCTATTATTTGTAAACCTAGAAGTAGAACACTTATGTAATGTTTAGATTAATTGTAATTCCCCAAATTATTGTTACTAAACCAAGAAGTAAATATTTATAAACATTTTTGAAAATAATGACCTATATTACATGAGTATACTTTTTACAATCGACAGAACTAGTGGTTAATTATTCGTTTTATTTCTTTAAATTTCTTAAATCAAATTTGCACATATTTTTTACAGTGACTTTATATAAATGTCCAAAATAGTTACATACATTAGCCTAGATAAGTTATTGAAAATTCATTAATTTTATTGAAAATTGTATAATAACACCATATCAACCAAGAAAAGTTTTAGCAAATTTATATGATGTTAATGTGCATTCGATAAAATTCACCAAATTGTTAATTTTTAATTTATGATTATTTTTTAGTTACATATTACAAATTACAATCATTTAAAACAATTTTTTATCAACATTTTTATTTAAAAAAAAGTTGCTTTTTCCAAAATGAACTTATAATCCATTCGTTTTTAAGTAATTTTCATTTACAGTTAATAATTATTATAAAATAATTCATTAATAAGTAGGTATGAAATCATTGTATTGCGATTTTTAGTTAGTCTTTAGATTAACAAACTATCTATAATATAGATAGTTTTATATTATATAATATCGTTCCTCCTATATTAAAAATTTAATAAATTTAACTCAATTTTTAGACTTTTCATGATGTGATATTAGTAAGTAACGTTTTATTTCTAATTATCTCTTAACATGACGTAATTTTTTCAATATTAAAACACCTGTATAACAATTGCTTATGTTTGGCTATAATTATATTAACTCTGAAAAATGTGTTCTTTTTTCAATGAAACTTTTATTCATGCAATTAGTTTTAGGATATACCTTCATTTTTTATAATTTAATATGATACATTTTCATATCTAGAATTCGACTAATTTAATAAAAACTTTATTTAATCAATAATATAATATGATAAAAATACTTTTTGGAACTAAAAGTTATACGTTTTCTACATTAGATTATTAATTGTTCACTATATAAAACAGTGAAATATGTATGTTATCATTTAAAAATATAAAATTTATATCATAATTGGGTATTAACAATGGACTAATAATGTTCCTAATTAATAAATCAACAAATTAAATGTAAATAAGAATAAAAAAAATTTTCAAAATTTTTTTTATTTTTTAAGTTATTAAGTATTTTATAATAAGCATTGTTTTTTATAACATATATACTTTATGTATTATGATAGATGACATACAATGTAATATTTTTTAATTAAATAAACCGAATTATTTTTTATTAATTTTTATAAAATATGGTAGTCATCAAATTTAATGTAAAAAAAATATTCGTTAAACATTTTTTTCAATTAATGAAAATACTTTGATTTTAATTAAACTGCTTTAAATATCAATAGCTTTTGTTTTATTTTATAACGTCGTGTTAATGATACAAAGATCTCGGTCAAATAAATTAATCAGTTATTAATCTATATGAATAATAAATATGACGATACCAAATAATTTGATAAATATAGTCGTTGAACTTAAAATAATATCAATCAAATGCTTTGTACAATGTTCAATTTTGATTTGGAGTTATTTGTAACTTTTTGATTGACATTTATCTGTAACTAAACTTAATATGAAATGAAAAATTTGAGTACCACAATTTAAAAGGATAATTATGAAATATAGTATTATTACATAATTGCTTTCGTCTATGGGTTCACTAAACATTTTCTTCACGTTCACTATATAAGAACCCCTGTAAATTGTACGTGCTGCATTGCATATTAATTCGTCTGAACTTGAATATGATTTAATGTCTCAATGATATATCGCTAAAATTATTCATTGTATGTGTCACAGATACATAATGTAACTTGACTCAAAACCCACAAAAAATCACAAATGTAAAATTAATTATTTTCTTGCTAATTTAAGGTTCTGAAATATAAAGAATAGAAGTAAATTAAAGTGATGAGAAGATGACTCATTTATTTTAATTATTTATGTAGTTAGTTATTAATTATTTAGAAGATCTGGTTTAATCTGTAAAGTGGATTTAATAGTAGAGTAAATGTTGACACTTTATGAATTAATAGGTTTCCATGTGTTATTATATTTTAGTGAATACACTATTAGTACATTATTACAAGTTCTTGTACGTTTTGTATTTGAAGGTCTTTATATAAATTCATATTTGTAATTTACCACAGATATTTAATGATTAGTAAGATTGATTGAAACGCTTGTATTGGCCTAATATAATATGTTTTGCCAGGACCTTAGATTTGAATATCATTAGACCAGACGAGGCGTATAATAGTTTTGAAATGTAATAGTTTTGTTTTAAGTTGAAGTTTTGAGGTAAAGAGAAGGTATAATAAGAGTAGTCGGTTAGTTGTATAGATTATGCTAAGCGTTATAGTAATTTTCAGAAATAAAGTAATAACCAACATCAGACAAAATCTATTCAAATTATTAGAGCTTATAGAAGCAAGTGTGGTAAAAACATTATTATGTAGTATTATGGTAACTAAAAGCTATTATCTCCGCCTTATTTTATGTTCAAAACATTGGCATAAATAGGGGCAACAGGGAAAAAATAGAATATTATATTTTTTGTATATAAAATATATATATTAGAGTGGGAGAAATATTAAAATATATCATTAGACCCTAAATTAATTTTTCTATTTTAGCCTGTATTTCAAAATAGTGTCCAACTGCTATTCATTTTTTTAGTATCTTTTAACAGTATAAGTATAACTGCTTTAAAGATAATATTTGAATAAAATGAGAAATAAATTTTTTGGAAGTTTGTAGCCGACTAAGAAGAATGCTGAGTCGACATATTTTTAGTCAAAACTTTGTGAAATTGAAAAATACTCAGCCAAAAATGATTGACGCTTACTATCAACTATATTGTAATTATTTTTGAGTAATTAAAGATCTAAATTCAATTTAAGATGGAAAAATATCTAACCCATATGTGCGTAATTATTCAATTTAACAATTATATGAGCTCATTAGCCTCCATACAAAAAGCACTTGTAAAATTGTTTTTTTTTCTAAAACACTTTATAAATAGTTTTAAATCATTACAATACTACACATTGTGGATTTTTTTTAATACATTGTGTAAAATAGCTAAAAAGAAATATTTAGTTGAATACTATTTTACCATGAATTTTACTTTTGCAATGAAAACAAAAATGTTACAAAGTTTACTTGTACTAACTTTTCTAATTTTGCAATCGTAAGCATATTATTATATTAAATAATTACACTAATAATTATTAGATTCTATATAAAATCCTCATTAAAATATAAATAAATAAAAATTCAAAATTATTTTTTAGCGGTACTAGTTATCCAGCTTTATACTTTAACGATGGGTACCAGACGGAGCCAAGTATTGGTAAAACCACAATGATTTATTTTTATTTTCCAATATTGAAGTTTTTATTTTAAGCATAAAAATCAAAAAAATAATACAAGTTTTTTTTAGTTTATATTTTAACATATACAAATTAAGTTAGTCAGTTTTAAATATTTATTTTTTTAGCTACTTCGTTACAGTATGAAGAACAGTCAAATATTCAAAACATTCTCCAGACGAATAAACCAAACAAATATAATGATTCCCCGTTCTCCTGGTTTCCAAATAAACAAAATGAACTTAAATCTGATTCTGTAGCTTCGATATCAATGTATCCACCTCATTCAAAAGAAGCTCCATTTATCTATCCGCCAACACACTCTCAAAAACCGCCGTTTGAATTTCCTCAGGATTCTCAAAAATCATTTCTAGAATATCCACCGTTCCCACAACACTATTCAACATTGAATTCGCTTCTTCCTTTAAGCATGTCACCAAAATATTCATCTCTGTTTCCTCTGGCTTCGTCAGTGTATCCACCTTACCCCCAAGACGTTGTACCATTTCAATCTCCAAATATACTACAAATTCCTCTAGTGTACGCACTATATTCTCAAAAACTGCCAGTTGTGCCTCCTTATCAAATGATATCACCAATGACTCTGTCTTTGGACTTAATGACTAATAACTTTTTGACAATGGCTACAATTCAAAATCTTTGGATGAGTTCAAGTTACCTTCAATTTTTAGCAAATAATTCAATAAAAAGTAATTATAGAATTTTCAATCAAATAAATAAATAAAATTATTATCTGTTAATATTTATAGTCAATTGAATTAATAAATTTTCAATCAACATACAATTACAGTTATTATTTGGATGGTGCACTATTAAAAAAAGCACAAGATATAAACACCTAATTTTTCAAAAGAATAAAAGACAATTATCTTAAAATTGTTCGTACAATATCATAACATCATCCCTTTTCCAAAATAATAAATATTTAAATGAACTGTTTTCTTCTTTTGTTTGATGCATCATTAAAATGTCTATGCAGTTATTCTATAAAAAAAAATTGTTAAAATATCTTTATGCTCTTTAAATGCGTACCATCCATATTTCCGTGCCAAGGAAACCGTTCTGATGTGTACCAAAAAAAGTTTTTAATTATTTTACGTTTATATTTCAGCTACTCCTGCAATTTCTCATTTAAGTCAACCTACGTCAAACAAATTTTTAAATGGATTTTCTTCAGTTGAGTCACAAAAGTTTTCTCCCTTAATATCATTTAATGAATATTATCTTCAAGATCAACCTCTCAAAAATTCTACCAATTCAGTATAACCATGATTTATTCTCTTATATAATTTCTTTTAAATATTTTAAAATTTTTAGGTTTTTCCAGAAAAAGCAGACATAAAAATAGATTTTTATTTTAAAAAACCACATTTCCCAGTTAACGACGAAAAAAAGAGTGAGATAAACACAGATTATGTCATAAATAATATACAAAAAGAAAACACATTAAATACATTGGAACCTACAGAAATATTAGACCATATTAAGTTGAACGCAGATGTAAAAAAAGAAGAATCTCTAAAAGTACCCAATTATATGGAATTAGAAGAAAATATAAAAATACAAGATATCGTAAATAAATTAGAACCCCAAAAAGTATCTAACAATTTAAAATCAGATGAAAATATGATAGGTGATGAGCCTAAAGTTTTAAAAGATGATCAAAAATTATTCAATCCAACACAAATAACTAATGATATAAACTCAGCTGATATGATTAAAAATGAAATTGAAGATGTAAAGAAAGAAATGAAACCATCCAATACATCAAATATCGTTAAATCAGCTGAAGATTTACAAAATGATACACATGAAATTATTGAAGAAGATGTAACTGAAGAAGATTTTGAAGAAAATGAAATTGACAATGATTATTTACTTAAAAAAGAATTACAAGAATTGTATAGTAATTACGGAAAACCTTTAACAAATTAGACACTAATATACACATGTTTAAAGATAACTATGTGTACTAAGATAAACATTTAACAAGTAATTAATTAAAAATTCTGAATAAACAATAATTTTATGTATTTGCTAATTTTTAATTTCGAAAAATATATTTATTTTAATGAAATTTTAAGTGTCATAAATCGTGCATTTTTTTAATTACACTTAATAAATAAAATTATGTATTTGATTTAAATAAAATATCTGAATATATAAATAGATTCGGCTCATAGGTTTAATCTAAAAAATAACTATGAACACTAAATAAATTTAATAATTTTAAATATTTTTAATTGACCATTAATTATTTGCTAAAATAGTAAGTGCAAATTTATAATAGAAATTTTGTATAATTCTAAAAAATAGTCAAAAATTACCTAACTAAAATTAATGTTTAAATTCACCAGTTAGTATTAAATTATTAATATTAATAATTTTCATATCTAAGGTGTTTTAGTTTATTGACCTTAAAAATTCAATAATCTTTATTATTTATATTAAATAAAATTTAACAAATCATTGCTTGCATAAATATTATTCTAAATATGCGATAGCTAAAATTTCTTTATTTTTGTTACAAATCCATAAATTTGAAAAACAATTCATTTATAAAAGTTATTTTTGTGTACCTACTTAAAAAAGTGCAAATTAAATAATAAATTATAGGAAAACAATTATATTATTTAAAGCTTTATGAAAACAATACAATTTTCTAAGAATTTCATATAAATTGTTAAATAAAAAAAAATTTTTTTGTTTAAAAATGACACGACTTACGTCGCAAAAATATGGTCGACACTGGTTTTGAAGGTAGAGACCCGTGGGCCGTTTATTAAATGAGCGACAACAGGTTATTTAACAAAAAAATAAAACAAACCGAAAAGATAAACACAATAATGAAAATCTTCGCATAATATCGCGGCACTTTCGCTGGCGTCGACGACGCGATGTCCGGCGTGATCCTCAGGCATCAAAAGGTAAGCAGCGTTGATGGCTACGGTGCGCGAGTGCGGATCGGTTCGTCGTCACTTTGACAACGGGAAGAAGACTCCTGTATCATTTGCGGCGGGTCGTCGTCGGCCGTGCGGCACTTGCTTGACTTTTCTCCGTGGCGTATGGCACGCGGTGTTGGTCAGTCAAATACTCATAATAGGGAGACGGCTGATAAAGGTGGCACGAGTCGCGGGGCATCGTGTATAACGAAGCGACGCGGGCCGTGTCAAAAATAAATCAGTGTTAACATAGATTTCACCATATTTTAATAAATTTAGAAAACAAACCAAACTTGTAATTCCAAAAAAACTTTTGAAAACATATAGTACAATGTATAATTATTGTTACTAACATTTTTTTTCGTTATTCTGCCGTATGGGACTTTTTATTGAGATGATAATAAATCTTAATTAAAATAAACGTTACTCATAAATTTACAAAGTATACTAATTAACATAAATAAATATTAGTATAATTTCATATATTTATTTATAATTTTACAATTGTTATGATATAAAATTTCATCAATAAATGCTTGTTAATTAAATATTTTGTCTAATAATGCAAATAATTATTCGCTTTATTGAAAATAACATTATTATTTTGCTTTAACAGCCGATTTCATAGTTGAAAAATATTTATAATTAATTAAACTTTAAATTTTAGGATAGCGTAATTTTGAAATATTTTTTAAACGTCTAAAATGAGAGATTTTTTCAAACTTTTGGTCCTGATAAGTTCAACTAGATTAAAATCGGTTTTTTTTTTACGCATTTATACATACATAAAAACACACCATTATAAAACCTCAGGTTCTCATCGTACATTTTTATGATATAAAACAACTTTGTTTTATTTAAATATCACGTTAAAAATAACGGATAAATTATTTAAAAAATTTGAACATAACAAAATAGTGTGTTTAAATTACTTTTCGTATGGATTTTACAATGTTTTAAAAAATATATCATTGAATTGTATTTTATAGTTGAAATATTTAAAATTAATATTCTAAAGTATTATTTAACAATTATAAATTATTATAATCATTTAATAATTATTAAATAAATGTAGTTTAAAAAAGCTGAGAAACACGCTTATAATCAAACTAAAAAGTTAAAAATTATTTTTTAATAAAGACTATATACCTTTGAATATCGTCATAAAAAACTAAAAATTATATAATAAAATATTGTTGTAGGCAATTGGTGAGCGGAATGAAGTGAATGCGTTACAACAGTCAAGTCTCAAGGTCATAGACGACGGTATACACGATAATAATAACACGTGGCGCGTGGAGAGTTACAAACATACATACATATAGGTGAAACTAATATAATCGTGTTAAAATATAAAAAAATCTATATAAGTTTGTTTGATTTCCATTTATCAGAAAATATTGTTATGTTTAAAGATTTTTAGCAAAAATGTTTTCCATTACTCCGAACCTGTAACGTGAATCCATCTATGTTTTTAACACACTTATATTTGTTTCGCATGTATGTTTGTTGTTTGTAACTCTCCACGCGCCATGTGTTATTTTTCTCGTGTATTCCGTCGTCTATGACCTTGTGACTAGACTGTTGTAACGCATTCACCCCACCCGCCACTAATCGCCTACAACAATATTTTCCTGTATAATTTTATTTTTGGTTTTCGTACCCGTACACGCATGCGTATCATCAATATTATATATATAAACAAATTTTTATTGTTTATTATTAGATATAAACATTTAAAGATTCTAATTTATATAATATATATGTATAATTCATAAGAAATTACAAATACAGGTAGCTAATTGGTTTTTTATGACGATATTCGCAGGTATATAGCTTTTATTATCAATGGTAATAAGACACATTGTTAAGTTTTTAAACACACTAACTGGTAATACAGAAATTATATCTATTGATATTGATAATTGACAATAAATACTTCGTGACTATAACAGCGATGTCATAAAAAACTAACAAGCTTAGTCTAAATTATTAATTATTAATCCTATTTAGACTATACTATACGTAAATACATAATGTATTTCGATAACACGAACAGTGTTCCAACTAAATAAATATAGTTTAGAAAAATTAAAAAAAAAACATGCCTTTAAAGCATATCGAACTAAAAAATTAAAAATAATCTTAAATTAAAAAGTTCGATGGAACAGTACTTGAAACTTGATGAAAACATGAACATCGAGTTCATAACGATTATGATCATATTACATACTATAATATTTTTACCAAAAATGTACATACAGTAGCTATTTATGTAAAAAAAATTTAGTTAAAAAAACTCAAAAACACACTTTCATAGCAAATGAAACTAAAAAGTAAAAAATAAATATAGTTAAAAAAAACACGCTTTTAAAGCACATCGAACTAAAAAATTTTAAATAATTTTTAAAATAATACTTATATTTTTCGTTCAGTATAGTTTTAAGCTTATTTTTAAAATTATTATTAACTTTTTAGTTCGATGTGCTTTAAAAGCGTGTTTTTTTTTTAATTTTTTCTAAACTATATTTATTTTGTTGTAACACTGTTCGTATTATCGAAATACATTATGTATTTACGTATAGTATAGTCTAAATAGGATTAATAATTATTAATCCGATTTAGACTAAGCTTGGTGGAAATTACACTGTATCATCAAAGTATTATAATATAATTAATATCCTTTATAGGAACAACGACATTTATGTACAGAGGTCAAGTTATAGAGGTGTCTTCTTGTTGAAACTATCATTTCTACTCGATTATGCCTAACTATTACTATTACCTTGATAAATAAAAAAATTTACTCAACGAAAAATGCTTTTAAGAAATATAAAATTCAAAGACACATACACATATCAAGGTTTTGCAAATCAATGATTTTTTCTTACTAATTTAAGTTAAGTTAGTTTTTAAAAAATCAACTTCAAGTTGATTATTTTTGAAAGTAACTCAGTAAAATTACAAAAGTAAAAATAATTCTCTTATTTGACTTGTCAAGTTAACAAGTATAAATTTCAATGACCATAATATAGGTAAAACTTTTATTCGTAAGTGGCACACCCAGAAAATACCTTTTTTGTACTCATCAAAAAGTTTGCTCTGCATCACTAATTGCCAAAATATTAATGAGTAAAAAAGTCATCAAAAGTTACAAAATTGACACATTAATAATCATTTTGAGGAGATGAACTAATATGAAAAACTTCATACGAATGTAGTTATTAAATGCATTATATTTAGTCTAGTTATTAATTTTTTAATTAAAACTTATTTTAAAAACAAAATGTAATTTTTATTTTTATTCTCAAGAAAATAATTATTACATTTTAACAATAAAACCAATTCAATATTTTGTAATTTTATCTACCTACTCCGAATTCTATAAATAGAATAATTGCCCAATAAATATTATTTTAAGTATTCTTAATGGCACTTTATATATTTTGTAAAATGCATTTTTTTTCTCACCATATTTAACTGTAGGACATTAAAGCCAACCTATTAAAAATATGTACATGTTTAATATTTCAATTTTTTAAATTAATAATTATTTTTGATACACTTAAACATAGTAAAAAAAATTGTAATGATTCCAATTCCTCTTTATACCTTTTGGTGTATTTAAAGCATTTTCCTAAGTTAGAAGATAATATTGATTAAAACTAAAATAACAATCGTAAAAATTTCATAAAATTTTAAATTATGTTTTTAAGTAAAAAATATTTAGATTTAAAGTGTAAAATAAGCACAGCATATTTTAACATTTCCTTATATTCTTATAATTATAAATTATAATTTATCTACGAATCTTTAACAATTGTTAATTGTAATATAATAACTAGATTTGAAATCATCTAGAGGCCTACAGTTGGCCACTCTTTTATTATTTAGGCTCTGTAACTTTTTCCTTCAAATTTTTAATGACAACATTTTTAAATAAATTATATAAAATGATAATAAAAACAGATTTTCTGTAAATAATAAAATTAATATAGAAAATGATCAGGGTTTAATTTCATTTTAAAACCGCTCATAATGCCTAAATACTAGTTTTGAAGAATCCTAATTGGCAACCAGACAAAAATTTACTTTTTTAGTAGCTAGTTAAAATAGAGTCCAAATTGTGATAAATCCCATAACCTGGACTCAATCAT